TAACAATGTGTCTGTCCAGCATTTCTACGACAGAGCACTTCTACTACAGAGGCACCGCAGCACCTGCAAGGTTACAGCGTGGTTAATTCACATTTTAACATCCTCTAGTAGGTGGGATGGGACAGCTAATTTCCCTCAGGGCCATTTTCCTTTAGGTAGCAACACACTGGCATCCAAAATATAAATACTCAAAAGCTCAATTTCTGGTAGGATATTTTTCATGGAGCTCTGCAAAAATTGCTTATCGTTACAGTATGAGGAGAAAATCATGGAGAGAAGTGGCAGCAATGATTTTTTTTTTTTTTTTTTTTATGTGTGTGAATTGGGAGCAGCCACAGCAATGCTAGATTTAGCTTCTGCTTAAATCAGGCCATGCTGTCATGGCACATTGTGCCTTAGTTCTCCTGAGGGACTGCCACAGCTCAGGTGGATTATGGACAAATTGCTTTAAAGGTGTTTCATGCAGGTAGCTGAATACATGGCAAAGTCAATCAAAAACTATTTTCTGGTGCTGCTTAGATCTCCAGAGCCTGGTTATGTGGAGGGGAGGACTGAATGATTAAGTTTTAGAAAATGCCTTTTTTATACCTAACTACAAATCCCTGGAGGAGATTCCAAAGAAATTTAATTGAAATGTGTAAAAAAAAAAAGTCTACAGGACCACTTAATCTGAAAATCCACCATGAAGGTGGAAACTCCATGTTTTGTTATTGAAATATATATACATTTTACAACATCTTGTTGAGCCCAAGAATATCCTTAAGACCAATGGCCTTGAATATGGTCGATGAATGTCAGACTACTCAGAGACCACCCTAACCTCAGAGACCACAGGCATTCAGCATTTTCTTTTCTGTCTATTTCAGTCACACGATACACATAGGAGTTAGTTATTACCATTACCATTGTTTTTGAAAACAAGGATGGTCTAGTCATTTATCCTATGACTGTACAAGGAGACTTAATTTCTGTAATGGCGATTAAGATATTCTGCCTGATCATTTAAAAAAGGATAAAAATATATTTTTAACATACATTGTAAAGAACAACAGCCTACAGAATTTGTCCAAAAAAAGCAAAGTTAACAATTTGTTTAAGTAAATATACTCTAATTGTATTCATAAAGTAGATCTACTTTTAATTGCTATAGAACATTGAAATACATTAGGTAAAGTCTACTAAACATTTCTGGATATGTTTTAATGCTATAACCTCAAAAACTAATGTAGAAACACTGAAGTCCAGAATCAAACCCTTCTCACTGCATGCCAGTTTTACACAGAAGTTTACCATCTAGGCTGCAGACGTTGTTTAAAAGAGTTAAAATATTAAGAATTTGTGATAAAATGAAAAGTAGCATAGAATAGTAAAACAGAATGAGCAGAAAATTTTACATCTTTGAAGTTCAAAACAGCTGGTAGATTTCTGGCTCCATGTTTAATGTAAAAAAGGCAAACATAGCTAATGAAGCAAGATACACTTTGGCTTGAAGTAACAATAGCTTCTGATTACTATAATGGACATGGTGGGTGTGTAATGTAATGCAATTAAAGGAATCTAGATTTTGAATACAGGTCAAATATTCAAAAGAGAATATTTTCGAATCCTAATTTAAAAACACAATGGAACTTATTAGAGATCATGTGATTCATTAGATTTATTTACAGATTTAATCAGGTTAAAATCTAAGTCCAGCCTTACATTGTGGATGCTGTGGTTGTTGTCCTTAGGGTCCTCCCTTGTGTGCTCCTCCCTCTGCTCGACTCATCAGATCCGTTCAGCAGGGATAACTCTCTCAGCTGCTCTTGCCTAATCTCATCATTGTAGTCCTGTGAAAACAAAACGGATCATGTATTTCGTACAAAGAAAAGGAACACCTGACCGTTGCAATTTACAGTTATATTAGCAGCAAGTGAAAATGATCTTGACACACAAAAGAAAAACACACTGCTGTTAGGCATTAAATAGTTGACGAGCCATGATATCTTTTGTTTATTTGGTACACAAAGTGTAAGAGGTGGTTAATGATCTTGAAAAAGACATTAAGTATAATTTCAATTCTCCAGAGGGGCTGGGGTTTAAGTGAGTGCAGAAAAAAAAATGAAATAAAAATTCTATCAACGGTTTTACTAAATTGAAAAGTTTTATGCAGGCATAATAAAGTTATTTGTTATTGCAGCCATTCAAAATTGCCTTTCCCAGTCAAACACCAGCCGGATGACAGCCCACTTTCCTGCAACTCCCAACAGAATCCCTCCAACTTCCAGCCACTGGACTGACTCCCTTCTTCCCCTGAATGTGCATATTTTTTTAACTCTGACTCCAACCTGTGACTAAATTACAGAGAGATGGCACTTCTCTTTAGATCTTAATGTTAACTCATAGACTATCACATTTCCTTGTATTAGAGAATCAAACCTTATCACAGATTATAGACATTTTTATGATAGACCATCATATGATATATTTTAGGTTTGAAAAAAAACAAACGTATAATGTTTTCAACTTGGTTTCACAATTAAAAAATTTTAAAAATGCAGCATGAGTATGTTTTTAGCTCATCTCCAGAATCATTGCTTTGTAGAACCAACTCTTGCTCAATTACATGACTATCTATAGGTATATCTCTACCAACTTTGCAGATCTACAGACTAATTTATTTGCAAGTGTCAATATCAAGACCTGCAGGCCCAATCTGGCCCACCAAGGCAATTTATCTAGCTCTCAAGAGCTGAAAAATGAAAAATCTGTCATTAATTCGCGAGATATGTTATTTTAAATTGTACAAAGATGCTAAAACTGCTAAATCAACAGTTATAATACCCTAGCAGTGTGCTCATTGCAATAAAATGATGAAATCTAAAGCTTAATTCAAACGGTGATTATGATTGTAACATGACTGTAGAAAAAGGAAGCAAAGGAAATTAAGTGGGACACTGATAAAGATCCTTTTATTAATATATTCTAGTAATAATACAAAACAATCTAAAATCTAGAATCCAAGAGTTTTTTTGCACTGCCTCTTTTCTTTTTTCTAATGTTTTTGACACACACATACACAAACTTGACTGAGTATCCATAATGCGTAAATACCTAGTCCTGCACCCAACCTAAACTCAACCTCAACCTTTGAAGTCTAAAACAGCAATTTCCCATATATGTACAGCAAAACGCAGTTCCCCCCTGATATACCTCACAAATTCCAAATGGGATGTCAAAAAGTTAAATAGACGGGTAACCTTAACAGTTTAAAGATTATGAACAAACCTATATCTTTCAAATCCTTATGTCATTGACAAACTGAAAAATAAGTGTGGTAGAGTTTCAATACCTTTATCAAGGTTCACATGTGCTCTTTTTATTAATGAGCCACTGAGGGCTCATTGTCGACCGGCGGGTTTGAAAGAGACTGGCAGAGCTCTTAATAGAGAAGCTGACAGATTATCCCAAGGACAACAAAGGTGCAAGAGCTTGTCAAAACTGACTGTTGACAGAGGTGTTAGTATGAGTGCACAGAGATAAACTCAAATGGGGAGGCTTCTCGGGGCTGACTGTTTGCTCTCTTTGATTAATTCTGACCATGCATGACCTTGGACAGTCTCTGTGCCCTTCTGGAGGCTAAAGTTAGACTTTATCAGGTCAATGGAGGAAGTGTGGTGATACAGGGAACCGTTACTGTAGATTTTGTACTGCCTTGTCTTTAAGCTCAGCCATATAAGCTTAACATTTACAGAAATACTAAATCAATTTAGTAGAATGTCAATATCCTTTGTTTCTTATTACCGAGCCTTTGATATTTGTTGCTCCTATGGACGATGCAAAAAATAAAAAAGGTTGAATACTTTTCATTGCATTTAGCATATATTTTTTAATCACTTACACTTGAAGAACAGGATAAAATATGCAACACTAAATAATACTTATTTCATTACAAATGAATAATGTGACATTTGGTTAAATTTCTTGTTGTTTTAAACAAATTTATAATGGGCGTCAATAAAGGAAAGCAATTAATGAAGGAGCTAACAAAAACAGCTTTTTTGGTTTTGCAAAATCTTTTAGTTATTTATTCGAGCTGAAAATACAGAAAATATCCTCAGAAATGGGGTGGAACAGTAGATATTTTAACATGTCTATCTAACTCCCAAGACCTCACAAAATGTACAGCAATAAAATAGGTCAGAATGAATCTGGAAAACCTACATGACTTGTGTTGAGGAATTTGAAAATACTGTTTCCTCATAAATAGCCAAATACAGGCAAGAAATGTGCAAGTTAAATATTTAAGATATTAATATATGTAAAAATATTTAATGACATTTGAATCCAATGCTGTTTTTGGATAATCCCTTCATAAATTTTATATAAAACATTTTTGCCTCATTATGTACAGAGGAACTAATGCAGCTGTCATAACCTTGGTGCTGATGGCTGGCTTAATTGCTTATTCCATTCACCTGTCCAATTTGCCCAGTTGTTCATTATCTTTCATCTTGTCCACCTGGTCCCTGCTGTTATATATGCTGCCTGTTTGCCTGCCATCAGCGCCAGATTATTTGAGTTGTGTGTGTGAGAGTAACTCTAGCGATTCTATACCATCCTGATTTTCTGATCCTGACCTATTTCTGTTTTTGGAACTTTCGAGTTTTGCTTAGCCTCTTTTTCTGCTCTGCTCGTCTGATTTGTTTTGATCTGGTTCCTGGATTCTGCCGGCTTACCGAACCTGGAACTATCTTCTGACCTCGGCTTGGATTCTCCTCTGGTACCTCCTTGGCTCTCTGATCTTCTGGTCTGGTAACCTGTTTCTTTGGCTTTTGACTTTGGCTTTGGATTTCCCCCCATGGATACTGCTGTTCTACTCAGCTCATCACTTGGAACTCGGTGGGCGACTCTCATTGCAAGCTTTGGATACACCTCCATTTTGGATTCTACTCTTTCCTTCGGGATCGGACTGAACTCAGAACCAGGTTAGTGACTTTTGCTTATAGTTGCGGCCCGTCTTAGATTCAAAGTCACCAACCTGAATTTCTATTTCTACAGATTATCCAGTGTATCCGCCCCAGCTGATGAGCAGTCAAATGTTCTTGGTTTAATTAACACTTGTTTTGATCTGTCTGCTTGAATATTGGGTACTCAATTCCAAACTTATGACAGCAGCTCATTGAATCATTTTGGAGTTTTCTATTTATTTTTTATCACAATTACAATAACAAATAAACACAATTCTGTTTTCTGATTTTTTTTTTTTTTTTTAGATTCAAATTGAAAACAGAATAACTGCACTCTTTCTCATACAAACATTATAATACCTAATATGGCTTGATTAAGAAGTCGGTCCAGAACAAAATTTTGGATTAAAGAAATTACATATATATTGTAGTTGAAAGCTCCTCAGGGAATTTTTTCAATCTTTAATTTGATACTTTGGCTGAGATTAAAGCAGAGCAGGGACTTAAGTGCAGGTTCACTTGTCCTTACTAAGTACATCTCACTCTCAGAAGAGAACGGAAAAAATAATTGAGGTATTTTCTAGTGTTGTCTACAAACCTGAATTTTGATGACCTTGTTTTTCTGAAAGAAAAAACAAGAGTAAATATGCTCCCCTCCTGTAAAAATTCAGTAATTTAGAATAATTTTTGAAAAGTGTAATCATTCTGGCAACACACCTAAAGCGAACAAAAATATGACTAATCCACACAGAATTATTCATTTAAACATTGATTTATGTTAATCATGATACTTTTCTGCCTACAGCTAGTGAAAACCTGACATTTAGGATATCAAACCAATAAACAAGAGAAAAAAATTAAATGCAAAAATATGTACTTAAGAACAGTTGGAGGTTTGAAAAGATACTTTTACTGTGCCATACAAGCTTAATCTGTGTATTCTGCTTTATTGCATATGATTATATATCTACATATATGACATGCTGTCACAAGGTGATACATTTGAAATCTCAATGACTGCAACTGCTTACATCACACAGATTGTAAAAGTAAATTTGTTAGAGAAAAAAAAGGTTAAAAACTGCAACAACTGCAAAAAAAAAAGCTTTTTATAAACTAGACAAGTTGTCCTTAAAAGTGAAATGTTCAACTTTTGTTAAAAGAGATAGCAATGGGTTTAACTCCTCCCAGCCAGTTGGTTGTGCAAGATTGTTTAGTGCTGACAGTGGTTGCATAACTAGAAATATTTAACATTTTGGACCAATAAAATTTTATACATCAGTTATTTATATACGATTGTATTCATTAACTTTTATACAGCACCATGCTAGTTGTTCTGTGAAAATATTGTTTTTGAAAAATCTATTGTTTTGGTGAAAAATCTTAAGACATCTGCCTAACATTTTTAGAAATAATTTCACAAATTAAAAAAAAAAAAGTGTAAACTCTATTTTAAAAACAAACTGTTAATGCTCAATAAACCAAATTGTTATTATCAAGGCACACAATGGCAGGTGTTAGAAAAACTGGTACATTGAGTTCTGGTGCAGCTGATATTGTACTTCAGCATGCCTAAAAAGTACAATAAGCTATCCATACCTGATGCCTTAGAAACTGCAAAGCAAGGACTCACAGTTTTGGCGAACTGCTTGAAGATGTATGCCAGAGACATAGAGCAAAGCTTTCAGTTCCTTTTTTTTTTTTTAAATAAATAAAGTACGTTAAATTGTGCAAGAAAAATGAGGGGAATTAAACATGATGTTTCTGTCACTCAACCATCCAAGGTGCACTCTCAGTGGGCAGGTGGAACAATACTGGAAGAGCATATGAGAGAAGGCTGCAACATAATACCAATGCTCAGTGGCTGGTGGATATAAGAGCAGACCACAGCAACCTTCCTGAATAGGTTTCAGCAACCATTACAGGGGCAGATATCCAAGAGAGAGTCTAATATATGAAGAGCTGGACAGCACTGGGATATGGCATTATTCAAACCTTCTGGCTATAGAAGCTAACTGCACTCCATAAGTGCCTAACAGCACAAATGAACCTGCTGGTAATGGATAAACGACACTAGAAAGGAACTAGAAGATACAAGAGGAGCCACTGGATGATAGGAGAAGTGGCTGATATAACAAAGTCCTACCAGTGGCTGTACAAAGCTGGACTGAGAGAGCCAAGAGGAACCGACCATGACAAAACAGGAAAAAGCTCTAAATAAAAGATTGATAGAGGCTCAGGTGCAAGCTATGCGGAGAAGCCCTTTGACAATCCAGCACATCACAGCAGGGTGCAAGATGCTAGCAGGTATAGTACGGCATGAAACACCAATAACAAAGTGTCCAGCATAGTATACAGGATCATCTGTGCCAAGTTGGCCCCTGAAGTCCAAAGGTCACCATGGGATCCCCCACTGGTGGTTAAGAATGGCCAAGGTAAGATCCCGAGAGACTTCCTGATAGACAGAAAAACTGATGATGGCTATCCATCTGGACACAGTAGTGATGGACAAGTAAAGGAAGAAGGCTGCAATGTTGTAGCAATACTGAGTGAAAGTACTATCAGGAAAAATAAACCAGAGAAGTTTGAGAAATACCAGGAGGTAGAGAAAATGTGGAAAGTGAAGGCAGCAGCACTCCCTGTGGCAATCGCAACACTCTGAGCAGTGACCCTTCAAACTGGGTGTGACGGCAGCAAATTTAAGGCACGACAACAAGAATACAAATGCCCTAACATTCATTGATGTAATTTTGGAGGCGGAAGCGGGGGACATGTCCCCTGCACTTTTTCAAACATCTGTTTCGGTCCCCCTGAAAGTTTTACTGTTCAAAAACATGTTATGCTATAGTACACAAGACAATCGTCGAGCACTTGGACCAAGCGGAAAATCACAGCTGAAACTGAATGATGATGCACCACTGAATAGCTCTGTGATTGGATGGTAAAACATGCTGAAGTTAGTTATATTAAAAAAATACTTGTGTCCCTCCCAGTTCTGAAATCCAAAATTCATCCATACTAATATATATATATTTGCAATATGTCTTGCTGCAGCAAAGGCTGTGGTACTATCAGGTAGGGGTAATCCAGCCTTTATTTCTGTAGTGTGTGCTCAGCTAACAAGCTTTATTTTGTAGCTCTGTGTTCCAAAGGCATCTTCATGAACAAGTGCTTTTCATATAATCACTCTCACTATAACAGCTTGGCTGTTACAGTACAGCTTTTAATGAATAAAATGTCAATAAGAAAAGAAAACAGCAGGACAGTGATTACATTCTTCACCGGAGGCAGGAAACATCTGTCGCTATAGATACTGACAGGTGCCTGTTGTGTCATTTTGCCTGCTGTGTGCCTGTATTTCTCTTGCGAATCCTATATTCCTGAGGCAACAAACAAGTTCCATAACACAAAAGACAAATTGTCTTCATTTTTAGCTTTAGTCTGAACACAAAGGTAGTACTTGTAACATAGACAGCTCAGATTTAACTGCAGATTTGACAACTTGCCTTAATAATACAAGATATAAGGAAAACAGCCAATATAAAAGAAGCATATATATATAAGCCAAGATGAGGCCTTTTATCATTTATAGCTACACTGTGTTATCCGGTAGTCAGTTTCTAGAAATTTCTACTAACTGGTCATTTTCCTGTAATGCTGCATCATTATTTGTGGTGGTAGAGTTTCACAAAGGATTCAAGTTGTTTATCTTGGGAATGTAAATATTTATTTTTTTTAGCATCCATGCTGCTTGTATTCCAATATTAAATAACGTAGCTGCAATTTCTAAAGGAATAACATTTCATCTTTTTCCACACTACTGCAATAAATCCTAAGCAGACGCTGTGCCAGCAGGATTCTTTTTATTATTCTCAGACTGATATGAAAAAGCATTTGCATTTTATTCAAAAAAAATAAATAAATAAAAGTAACTTTCTTATTGTACAAACAGAAGTGAATGACGGTATAATAGTGCAAAACATAGCAGGAATTAAATGGGCAACTAAAGTAAAATTCAAAATTTTAAACATTAAAGTTAATGCAGCTTTGAGAGAGGAATGTTATAAAGTTTTTGTCACATTCAGACATATAAAACTTCCAATCATCAATTCCATTGATGATTGATTCTTTAAGATTGATTCAATCAGAAATTAATACACTAATAAAAAAAAATGATCGAAACTGATATTTCCAATGTCTTGATTTTGCGATAGTAGCAGAAATATTGTGAAATCCAATTCTACAACTATATGGAATTCTATTGACTGTGTTTGTAATTTTGACAGTCCTGTTCACATGGAATTTACTCCATACATTGGTAACACCCCAAGTAATAAACAACAAATACAAAAATGGCTGACATCAGTCAATTTTTTTAACAAAATATCTTTCCCTAATCCACACAAATTAATATTAGACGGTTTAGCCCCAATTGACCTATAAAGGGATAAAACATAGACCTTTGAAACCTCATTGCAAAAGAAACATATGTAAATGGTCTAGGCCCCCCATACCCCAGCAAACATCACTATAGCATCTTCCTGGAGTTTCTTAGCAAATATTAAACACGACCAGGTGCCGCTCAATGCATTTTTCACAGAAGGATTAACAGCTGATTAGAAACAATATGCAAAAGCCAAAGTCTATTTGCATTCAATAACCATGGATTCTAGATATTCTCAGTGCACAAGGCTGCACAGCAGAAAGAAAACTAAGTCAAAGCTTCCTCAAAGTTAACTTCCAATTCTCCTTGATAGTTCCAACAGAAATATTCTGATAAGAAAAACACTAATGAATTAGATTTTTTTTTTTTGCTTTGAAAAACAAACAAAAAAACATTCATCTTCAATTCAACTTTAAGCTTTAGCTGAGCATTTTGCTGTAATTTGACTTAAATAAAAAAATTTCTTTTGAGATATTTTCCCTAAAACACAGGAAAAATAAGAACATCTGCACATACAAAACTGTCTTAGAAAAATGATGACAATTTAGAAATAAAATAACTAAAAAGTTTTTAAATGTTGGAATCTGAGACATTTGAGTGAGAGAGTGAACTTCTAACAGCTTTGCATGCTCAAATAATGCTTAAATAACTTTTAACTTCTACTGTTCTTTTAGCATTTTCTTAATTAATTAGAATTGTAAATGGTTTACAAATCCATGCATTCCATTAAAATCCTGCAAGACAGCATCCTTACCTATTTGGAAAGAGGATATAATCCTTTACTAATTGTTTTTTTGGCACTCAGTGTTAAGTAATTTGTATTTGTTTTAGCTGCAGTTGCAGCATCATCATCATCGTCATCATCATCCTGCTGGCCCAGTGTGCATACAGAGCGCTAGCTCAGTACAGCCAGAAGTGTGGACCCCATAAAGTAGACTCATCCAGCACAACTCCTCTATTAGGCTTGTCACACTTGCAAAGCTTGATTAATATTTACAGCTTAGACTCAGCAAGAGTACACAATGTGCACACTAATTACAGCAAAGTTCTTCAGGCTCCTAGTTGCAGGAGTCTTGCAAGTTCTTTCATACTGCATTTTAATTGAAGAATACATCAATTATTTCTTGTAACAAAGGCCAAACCATGTAAATGTTAGGGAGCGGAGATAAACTCATAGCTTTGGATATAAACAGAACCTTGCATATTCTGAGCACACCAAACATGTATATGCTTGATAGAGAAACAGTCATGTCAGCAGCAGTTACTACTGCTCTTCCACAGCAAGATAAATAAAAAAGGGAGACCCAGGTAAAGTCATAAACTTACTGGAACAAGAAATTTTTTAATTTCCTCCAGGGCATGACTCATGCGAGAATAGGCCTCTCCCGGTGGAGCGAAGACTTCAATTAAAACGTGTAATTCATTACTCAGGTGGGCATATTTTGCCTCCCCGCTTTTTCGTAACTCTTCTTCCTGTAAAAATAAAAAAAAGTTGTCAACAAAGGAATTTAGACTTTTGAACAAAAATCAAATTTTCAGCCATTTTATAACACCTTATTTGACATAACCATACAGTTAGCTTTTTTAATTTCCTTATATACAAACTATTAACACATAATATTGGATACAGAGCTTGCATTATCTTGCTTTAAAAATATCCTTTAATAAAGTAGGTTACTAAATTGCAAGATTGTTGTTATCAGGGATACTGTTTTAATATACGTAAATGTGCAATATTTTCTGTGGCCAGCTCTTCAAACAAAAATCGAACAAAAATTTTTTTTTTCTCCTATTCTAAAGACATCTGTTCATTAGATTGTTTCACTCAGCAAACATTTTTACTTTTCACTGAGTAACTTGGTAATTGAAATGTGGATACATTTCAGTTTTTCTTGATCTGTGGTAGGTTTTCAGAACTCACAAGATGTAAAATAATGTCCGGAAAACCACTAGGACTTTACATTGTATTTTGTAGAGTATTGTTTTGGGTAGATGATGAGTTAAATTGATACAATGTAGTGGCATTTTTGCTAATAAAACTTCTTTAGGCCAGTCTTCGCCAAGAGAACAAAAATCCTGCATCGGCCTGAAATCCAAATCCAATCAACTGCTTGGGGAGAAGCTATTTTCAGCATTATCATGCCAATGGCTACATTACAAACCCTGGCATTAAAAACGCCTCATGGACTATGTGTTGTTGATTTTAGGCTTTATAGCTGTTTCAGTGAAAGTTGATCAATTGCTGGAGACACCTTAGCAATCAATGTCACAGTCCATACTGATGGAAATTTTATAAAAATATAGATATAAATTTCTGTTTTGTTCCAATCTACTCATATGGAAAAGTAGAATAAGAGCTATTTGCCTACTATAGCAAGAAAACGCTTACTTTGTTGCAGCTATCAGCCATGGTGGTGGTATTATGGTAAATGGCCTGTACTTATACAACGTCAGGAGACTATTTACATTACATTCAGATATTCACCCATTCACTCACACACTGATGTTGACAAGCTACATTGTAGACACAGCTGCTCTGGGGCTTACTAACAGAAGCAAGGCTGCCGTATACAGATGCCACCAGTCCCTCTGACCACCATCAATAGACATTGCGGGTGAAGTGTCTAGCCCAAGGACACAACAAGGCCGAAGCCAAGAGCCGGGGCTTGAACCAATAACCCTCCAGTTGCAGGGCAAACCCGACGCCACAGTGGCCCCAACATTATACTGATGGTTAGATTTTCTACTTGTGGTGGTAGTGCATTACATGAGGTTGTTGAAACGCTACAGATGGAAGACTGCCTACAAATCTTTAAACTTCAAGTCAAATCCTCAAATTAACAGCTAGAGAATTGAAACTGGCACAAACTGAGTGAGCACAAGCAAACACCAAAACCAATGGCAGACTAACCTTAAGTCTGAATAACATCCACATCAGGTCTACATAAACTGTATATTGTAATTACAAGTTGTGTCCGTACCACTTTAGTAAAATGAATAATAAAAAATTCACAAGACAGTGAGAGTATGTAAGTTTTACACATCAACACTTACTGGAAAGGTTAGGTTATTTACTTAAGGACAAGTGGTTTCAGAAGAGAAGGGATTGTGTCACTCGGTAGTTCTTTCCCCTCAGCCTAATAGTGGATTTAAACTCTGTTTGGAACAGAACTGTTTTTGCCCTTTGGGAAAGGTCATTTTTAATTAAAAGCACTCCAGGATTTTAGCAGTTGTGATATGTCTCTCAGATCACTAAGAATCAGATCAGAGCTTTGATGTACAGTATCCTCAGTGTTTTCTACACTGTCTCTGTAAGCTGTTTTAACAATTTGCTAGTTGTTTAAGAGCAAAGCAAGCAACACCATACATTAGAGAGTAATTATTATTCCTGTAATATACTTGAGTCTTCAGTGAGTTTGAATAATTGTTTTCTGCAGAGGCTTTAGGGCATATGTGACCTTAAGGAAATTCAACCAGTGTGATTTACTCTAACCTTCACTATTTGATTTGCCTTGGGGAAAACATCTATATGTTATGTTTTTTTTTTTTTTGTATGATAATAGCTGATATATAAAAATTTAATTCAAAAATACTTAATTGATCTCCCAAATGGAAATTAAAATATTTTTTATTAAGGTTATATTGATTATATGAAACACAAGTTGTTCTGAGTTAAAATAAAATAAAAAAAAAAATCGAAATGTGGGGATATTCCTGCATTCATGCACTGTTCTGGAGAACTGAAACTGGCTGCAGGAAAAACAGCCATATGTGTGATACATAATTAGACTTTAGCTGTAAATGTTGGACTCTGTCAAGTGGCCAGCTGCCCCAAATGGCAGCATGGCTTTTATCCATGACCTCTGGATGTCAGTTGCATCTCCTTCAGATCTGTTCAGATAGCAGACAAAATCAATACCACAAGCAGAAAACACCTAAATCAGAACAGCATGCAGCTTTGTCTGCAGGAGTCTATAACTGAACATTACTCTCCATCAATAAAGCCTGTGCCTCTTCCACACTTGTTATCGTTGATATAAGTGTGCAATATCTAAAATGGATAAATTAATCAAGGTTAAAAAGGTGAATGCTAATTTATAACTAACATAAGAAGCCATATGATATACTTCCAAACACTTTATAACTGAAAAAAATAATAGTGGCTTTCATGCTAGTTAGATAATTTTAAAAGAAATATCTAAAGACAAGACAATCATAAAAAGATTTGATTGATTTATGTTGTTTTTATGATAAATCCTGGTCTTTCAAAGTTCAGTTAATATATTTTGTGATGGTAGGTGATTGCTCTTTTTATTTTTTGATATTGATTGTTATTTTTTCTGAACCTCTTAGAACATCTCAAGGACTTGTGAGGCACAAATGGATACATAGCCCCGGCAGTGGGTTATGAGTTTGTCCAAAGAACTCCTGCAGAAGGAGAATGATTTGAAAACCTAAAAAAAGGAGAGGTATCCTGTTTGTATCCTGGTTGTATACCCAAACATACTTCCTGACTCCTAACAAAGACAAGGGGCAGAATGACTCCAAGCTTATGTCCTTGCTTGACAAGCAGCCATGACTGCAAACAATGCAGCCAAAAACATATTGATTTTTCTTCCCCCCAATAACTGATTTTACTACTTCATCATTTCTATGGAACAGCACAAATAACACTTCTAGGCTTTATGGTATTGCCATTTTTTGTAAGTCCGAAGGTTATCCGAGCTGCTACTAGGAAAAAACAAACAACAAAAAAACATGTGATTTACAGCTTTTTTTCAATCAGATCATAACAATGACTTGTTGCTATAGCTGAGACCGGAGGATGGATGAAAGTCTGAGCAGGATGCTTAAAAGTGAATTTCAATTATGTAAAGCCTGAACACGTGAAACTGCGAGATTGAGGAATCTTCTCTTACCATATATACAATTGATTCTAATATTTACAGCAAAGTATAAATATAATATAAGTCATAATACAAAAATGTGACTATTAAACCATCAGTTATTTCATAGATCTGAACTAAACTCAACAGAACAAGGTCTACAAGCTGAGGACATTCAAAACAGCAGCCGAAATGCCGCAGTCTGGTTCAAGGAAATATATGTCAATTTCAGAATTATTCTCACCATAAATAGCATTTTTGATTATCATTTCACGACTCATGTTTTATTTTTCTATTTGCATTAATTTTATAGGAAATTATATAGACAGGAAATACTCATATTTCAAAATATGTCAGAAGAGACATAGGTTGTTTTAGGGTTTTCTGCTTTTTATGAATACAGAAAAACATTTAATAGAACAAAAAAGCTTCATGTGTCGCCATTTAATGTGCACAGACTGCAGTTTCTTATCCAAAATGAGAATTATAGATTTTATTTGATCATTATCAACTCACTACACACATGCAACTGCCACATCCAAAAAATAGAAAAAATGTATGATATATATTTTGTTACTATTGGTTTGTGAAAAACCAGCAGGCTATGCAGTTACCTCAGTTCTCTTTCTGATCTTTACCAGCTCTTTTTTTTTGTCCCACAGTTTTGCTGTATTGAGATGTCTATTGTTTTGTATATTTTCTTTTTTTCATTTCCACTAAAGAATACAAGAATGCTGAAAGAATGCTGCATTTATGTATTATTATAAAGCACAAAGCTCCATTAAGCTGTCGGTAGTCACATGTTCATCTGATAAACCAGGCAAGGATTATCATGTTGAAGAAGTCCTCATGTCTTAGTGAAACCATTAATTATATGTACTTTAAAGCAATTCTTAAAGCCCCTGTAGAATTTTCACAGCTATGTGTTCTTGTTGTAATGAAACAAAGAGCTCCAGTTGCACTGAAGAGATGCATAGGCTGCATGTTTTCTTTTCATGTCAATATGTCAGAATCAAATGCACGGAAATAATAGCACCGTAACTGAATAGGAGCACTCTAAGAGCTGTTATAAGCACGAGTAACAGACTCAAAGGCAGTCTGTCCTCACGCCTGGTTTGATCCCAGGGGACCACAAGTCAGCTGGATAAATGGCTCTGTCAGAGAGATTCATTGCTTTGGATTCCTGATTAACAATTACTGAAAATGCAACGAAACAAGATGAGAGGGAGGGAAAATGGATGTCGTTTCCCTTTTAGATTTGTAAAGAGAAACATACATATATATTTTATTTACCTATGCAATGATTCTTTTGGGATAATTACAAAAATGTGACATTAACAGTGCAATATAACTTACTATACATAAGTATTAGATAATCAAACATAATACCAGAAAAAGATGACCTGAGTTCATACAAAACCAATTTCCATATGTTGATTTTTGTTATCTGGCTTCTTAGAAAAAAATAAATGTGATTATTTGGTTATCTGTAGAATAAAGTAAATCATTAAATAGCACCTATTTGACAACATGAACTTAGCTTAAATGGCTCAGAAGGTACGCCCCATCTATTGAAATTCAGGAATACCCTTGGAAATCAAGTAATTACAAGTTTTTCTTTTTTTACATTATACTGTTGGGATCCCCCCCCAACTCCTGTCACTGCCCTCCCCTGCTCTAGTCTTTCCCTAGAATATGTTTTGATTTATTTAGCATTTTGATTTTGTGAAAAACAACAGATCCCAGCCTTTTTTTTTTTTTTTACCCGGGCACAGTAAACAATGGTAATATATTCTAGCGCAAATGGAGAACAAAACTGATCAATTCTACCATCCAATAATGTCACAAGACGCCTCCTGGTTGGCGATGACAAACTTGCATTCTCTTGTTTATTTAAAGGGTGCAAGGTTGCGCAACAAACTGTTGTTTACAAGCACCATGCTATATGGTCTACATGTCATCCATCAGACGCAAAATTGGAGAGATTAGGGGACGGTATTCTCTGTTTATAGGTTGTTCAAAATGTGATGGAGTTTAGCTACTGCTCACCACAGCCTACAGCTACAGCCACAGGCTCTGTGTCTGTGGTAATCATTATCTCTCACGCAGCCAGTGGGCAACCCTCACACGCCGACCACGAGACACATGAATTTAAACACTTGCACATGCTTAAACATATTATTCACATATGTTCCTCAATGGATACCTCGTATGCTGCAATGTCTCCACAAAGAGATCAGTATTGTAGAAGGTTTGTGCAGGATTGAGCCAACCTTCTTTCAAGTATTAAGGTCAGTGTGTGACTCAAACAGAAAAGGGAAAACAGCAGCCCAGCTTTATAACATTGCCTAGATTGCCCTTTCATCACTATCAGTAATGTTACGCCATACCTGTATAATCAGTATATTTAATAAATTAAAATAAATAAAATCCACCAGGAAAAAGAAAAGGTTTTTTATTGCAAAAGACACATTTTTGAAGAATCTGTGTTCAAAGTTAAAAAGATAACATACTATTTGAAAAAAAAAATTACAGCCCCTGTTCTGCCATTCTATTTCTACATTATTAGCTTTTTTCTCCAGCTCAAGAAAAGTACAAAAAAGTAATTCACTCAGTATTCACTCACCACAATCTCCCCATTGTGGGACAATAAAGGGATTTTATATTGTATCCTATTCTACACTTGTGTCTTCAGCGCTTTCTTTATGTTTTTTTTTTTTTTATTGTTTTTGTGTCATAACTTCAGTCGCTGCAATTTGTGATGTTTATTGATACTGTTTAAGTAGCTAAGGAGGCTATCAGTTGTGGTGATGGAGTTAATGCAGAGGGACGAGACAAAGAATTAGGAGTGAGGTGGAAGAGACAGAAGAGTAGGAAGGGGGTGATGAGGAGGAAATGATAAGGAAGGAGATGAAGCAGGAGGGTAGAGCAGGAACCTTTACAAAGGCTGCATGTTGGCCAAATATGCCAGGCATTTATATTGATCACTGAAAAGAAATACTGGCTGCTTCTACTTGCTTCCATGAACTCTGATCTTCTTGAGCAGGGATTCAGCTGGATCCTTCACATACAGTCCAAGGGCCACAAACACTTGAACCTGGCGGCTTTAGGGGCACTAAGGTTAAAACTTACCTACCTGCACCGTGTACTAAAAACTGTTCAGAAAGTAACACCAGGAAGCTTTCCAAGGTTTCAATTTATTCCCTACGATTGGTAACCCAGCCTGTCTGCTTTAGCGCTTTTAAACTGCCAGGCTGTTTTCTAATGGAACAGTTAATATAAATGATTATTTGTCACTGGAAGCCATCTTAGTATCAACAGTGACTGTCAAAATGGATGGACTTAAGCCGAAATATTTCAAATAGGAGCCCCCTACATCTGTAAATAATAAACAAAAATATGCTACAAGCACATACAACACCATTCATAATCATATATAAAAGATGCATACACACACACCCACAAATAAACAAGCACGCTTAAGTTTGTTTAGGTGTATATATATATATATATTTGAAGAACAGTATCTGCTCTTCTTCTTATTAAATATGTTTTAATTAAAATTGTTTTATTTATTTGTCTTTTTTTTTCCCCAACGCTCTGAGCATAGACTGCCCTAAATCAACTGTTAGGTTTCAGGGCTAATTGTTATTTAAAGGGCCAGTTTAGGTTTTTGTTTAATAAATCAAATTGTCACGCAGTGCTTTTAAATATTTGTTTAGGTTATATTCACCTGATAGTAATTCTAGCCCATTTATAGTGTTAGCCATGTTTCACAGTTAAATATTCCATGGTGCTTTAGTTCCTGTAAAAATTACAAGGGCAGCCAAAAAGTACATTTCAGCACAAATCAATATGTGTCTTACCTTCTCTTTATCCCTCATAGACCCTTTGCCAAGGATGGACATCTTCACTCCTGTCTCCTCTTGTAATCTTTTCATAGAATTCCCCCGCGGTCCAAGCAGCTTCCCTACAAAGTTAAACTGAGACATACAGTAGGAGAGAAGAAAAACATTAAGAAACAAGCAGCTCACTGATTCTTTCAATACATTGGCAGAGCCCAAATGTTAGAAAAAGCTAAGTGATTTAAAGAGGAATGTCACTAAATGAGTGTTGGATGTAATGCAAATTTGATCTTTCCAGTAAAAGGGTTAACCATAAAAGACATTTGCTGGCCATTAGTCATCTTGTATCAATAAAATCTCACATTCCAGTCGCTGTGAGAGAAAAAGGCTGTAATGTAACCTGTAATAAATCAATATCCTTTTGGTCTTTGCAGCGTGCATCAAAGGTGAGTGTGATTCTCATCTGCACTCCAGGATGACATATGTGTGCATCCCTCAACTGGACTATGCCCTTGCTGGTGATGTTTTGTATCAGCATTCACCATCCATGTTGTATTGCTTGAATAAAAAAAGAGGGCACATGGACTCAAACCAATAACGTTCTCGAAACAACTCCAGAGGTCAGCACTGAGATAAAGTCAGAAATAATGAGTTCCCATCCCAGTGGGAAATTAAGTTATACTATCCAGATGACAAACCGTTAGATTCAAGCCTCCAGGCGCTGTCTATCATTTGCCTTCATACTATGCACCAGCTCAGGTTCATGTAAAACTATTGCAAAAGTATTCATATAATTTGGAACATTTTCCAATTTCTGGTTTTCTACAACCACAAACCTTGATATTTTGTGACAGATCAACACAAAAGAGCACAAAACCTATAAGTAAAAAGAAAAAGATACATGGTTTTCGAATTCTTTAAAAATGAAAGCTGAGAAGTAGATAACAGGGTTATCTACTGAAATAGGCAGTCTATGAATACAGCATTTGTCCATGACTGACTTTCTGGGTTTTATGTAGTTAGCAAAAAACATTGTTATAAGTTTGTGCAGGCATCAGTTGTGGGCATATTTGTCTGTCTTTCTGTTTCTCATTTAAATATTAATATAGAAATTAAAAAATATATTGTGGTATAAGTTTTGGCCAAATAAACCCAGCTCTAATTTAGTCTAATTACTCGGCTACCCTTAAATAAAACCATAGCTACCAATTGCTCCCACTAGATGTGAGCTGTTTCAAAAATGGAATCAATCTTTGAGTTAATTAATCACAGTATACAGTTTATTGTTTTCCTAAGGTAATGGATAAAAACATTAGTGAATAAAAGGCATTATGTTGTTGGGAAATTTGAGTTTTGACATAAAACAAGATCCCGGTGTCTGAAGAACACAGACTTGTGTGATCTACCGTCTTAAAATGAATGGCACAACTGGAAACCTGTCTGGACATAAACCTTCTCTACTACAGTACATTATTAATCAGAGAAGCAGCCTAGAGAAGGATAACTCTGGAAGAGCTGCAGCAATACACAGCTCTGGTGGAAATCTATCTACACAACTATTAGCCATGCTTCTCATGATCTAGAGTTTTATAAAGGACCGGCGAGAAAAAAAAAAAAAAAAGTTCTTTATTCTGGTTAGATAAGAGCAAAATTATACAGTTTGGTTTCTTTGTAAAGTGTTTGTAGTGAAAAGAATATATATTTTTCTCATTTCTTATCAGAAAAAAGCTGAAATATAGTTTGTCTTTAAAATCTTATGTATGAAATAGTTCGATTTCGTGTAGAAGGGAACTGCTGTAAAAGGAAAAGATTTAACACTTGGCCAAAGTGATAATATTCCAGCAGGACAATTACCCTAAAGCAGAACAATAAGAAATTGGATAGATAACAGGATGCTGATATTTGAAAAAAGTCATTTGATAATTCAGACAGAATCACATTAAGAATGTTAATTTTGTATCACTTCACAATTATCTATATCCTTGAGACGGTCTACAGTTGAGATGGTCAACATAATAATAACATATGGACTGTCCTCACACACACACATCCATAGAGCTAACACCACTTAAACGCACTTTCCATCTAAAGCTGTATATAATCTGTAAATCTTTTATCTGCTATTATCTTTCATTATTTACCCTTTATTACAGTATACCATCACTAAAACATATATATATAATCCATATCCTAACTTTCATGTATAATCTATATATAGTTTTTAATATGTTTTTATTTTATAGCCTGTTACAATTACTCTCTGTTTATGTATACATTTATAGTCAACACATACATAATCTCTGTGCACATGTAAATAAATATTTCTATCCTGTTTAGCACTTCTGGATAGATGGAAACTACACCCCTTTGCTTTGTATTTGTGACAGTGTAATGACAATAAAGTTTAAGTCTATCCTATTCTATTCTATCAAAGGTTTTTGGTTGAATTGTTTCAAAATAAGTTCAAGTAGTATGAATGATTTTGCAAGCCATCACTCTGGGTTATTGGTAGGATGAGCTGTGATTAATTTAAGAGGTAAATTTATAAAACAATCTCAACGTTTTAGATTTAGATAAACTTTTAGGCCAGAGGAAACAAAGTTACAGTGTTATGATATGAAAAACATTTCTGACTTTCAAAAGTTAGTTGCCTGATATAATATAATAAAAGTTCATCTTCAGAGCTGAACAGGTGGTCAGTCGTTCTCTCTGCAGCTCACTCTGGCTAACCCCTAAATGAAATTAACCTTCGCAGAATGCATCATATCCTGCTGTGCATGAACAGCTAATAACTCACTGCCAGCTGTGTGTGGCTGCTTCAAGTCAACTTCAATAACTGCACACTCAGCTTCTTTCATGAACATCATTAACATCTTGAGTGAGTAATGCAACTCTGATAGGTAAAAGCCAGGGGTGCATAGATAAAGCCAATAAAAATGAAAAAAAAAAAAAAAAATACAGGAAAAAAAGGCAACGGGAAGCATTCTTGCTGTCCTTGCTTGTCTTCTGATCTCAGTGATTAAGGCACTTCTGCTGATGTCTTCCTTCACTGGTGCTGCTGTGACAGGACTATCCTGTGGCTGGCAGGGAGCTAAAGAGCAGATGGCCGCTGCAGTTACAGCAGGAATAATCTCACTGGGCGGTAGAAGAAGAGTGGCCTGTTTTCATTAAGCTAATGAATGTCTTGAGTCTGTCCGCTGCTCCACTGTGAGCAATTTAAGCTCCAGAAAGGGTATGTGTGGTGTTAAATGAGGTTTGAAATGATGATATGTACCCCCTATCGTCTCAGCAATGATAACGCTGCAGATATTAGAAGAAAGCGTGTTGTGAATGCAGCAATTATGCACAAAAGAGTCTTTAAACAATGAACAAATATTACATTACAAAGTGGGCACACAGTTCTGCCTAATGTGTTTAACTGAATACATTCTCCAAGAAATCAAAATATTTTACTGAGAGCCTGGAGAGATAATTTTAATATATTTAAATGTCTAAGCCTTTAAAGCTAATTTTAGATGCAGTTCTATGTGGAAAGGGCATAAAACAGTGGCTGGAGGTTAAGTCGCATTGCACCAATGTGAATCTACAAATTTGACAATGCAGCTGAGCAAAGCACATTTTACCAGACACTCTATGCCTGAGGCATTTTTTTTTGCATGTGTAATTTTGACCAAAGATCCCATTGACTTCATAGAAGAACAATCCTTGTCTTACAGTGTGCAATAAGACAAAAGACAGGCAAACGGAAGCTCCCCTACAGCAGTTACACTAAACAGATACAGAATATGTAACATAACAGAAAGTAATCTGCACAAAAAGTAATAAAAGTACTCAGAATGCATCTTACCTAGAAACTTTCATTTAAGACATCTGTTGTTGTCTGAGCAATACATTTGTTGCAGATTTCAATTTGCAATGCCATCTATCCTGTCACAAATTTTATTTATTTTATTATTTGCTGCACTACACACAGTTTGCATTTACAGTATGCTAAAAAGGAGCTGAAAGTCTTTGTGACTTTAGAGGAGGCATGTTTAGTCCTGCAGTGAAGCATTTGGAATGTACAACTCCCCACTGATTCCAACAATCATCACAAGATGTTTGTGGCGAATTACTGTTGAAATTAGACATTTACATGCACTTTAAGCTTATGTTGTGCATGTATCACACAAAGTTGTTCAGTTTGGGTGTAGTTAAGATTACAATATTATTTTTAATTGTCAGAAATTATGAAAAGAACATAAGCTTTTTTTTCCTGTTATCTTTGTTGACCAGACTTTTAAACAACTTAAAAAGTTCAGTTGATTAGGTCTTGGCTATGTATTTCACAACATTTGAATAAAGAAAAGGATTTCTTCTAAAAACATTTTAGGAAAACACTCAAACACATTGCTATCATGGGTGACATAATTGTATAATAAAGATACGTCAGCCGGTATAACTATTCAGACGGGAGATACGTTAAGTATCTCAGATATATTCACATATTGACATGAAATGTAATATTAGGAATTAAAGATCATGTAAAGATGTTGGCTAAAATTGTCTTTATCTAAAGTCTAACAAGCCTTGTACCATCATATGCTGGAATGCCATTCAGCAAAGAAGAGGTGTTTAATGCTAGTAATGGGCTTATTAATAAACTTACCCAGAATATTTCTATCAAACTGCATCAAATTTAGCTGCAGTTTACCGTGGTGGCCAATAATTCCTGGTGATGATGTGCAATAATGCACTTCATTAGCCTGAATTACAGAAGAATTTAGAGGTAGAAGTTGGAGTTCTCACACAGTTTATTTAAGAGAACTGGTACTGATAGAGAACTCAGATTGTTTACTAAGCACACTTGTTACCTATGAACAGTAAGTTCATCATCCACAGAAAACACTATAGAAAGTTAGGGCCTTGCTTATTGATAGAAATACATGTAATATGTCTATTTATGCAACAACTTTTAACTATGCTACTATTTGCCATTTTTAGATGGTGTAAATGACAGCAAGCTGTGCTGCAAGTGAGGACGATTAAAGATTTTATTGTTTGCACCCATTTACATTGTTGGCATATGAAGCTGCTTCAGTTTAAAAAGGTGTGCTCAGCTGATTTGCACAAGCATCATACACCATCCATTCAATCAC